CTGTTCTCTCTCTCTCTCTCTCTCTCTCTCTCTCTCTCTCTCTCTCTCTCTCTTTCTGACTGGCGAGGGGAAAAGGGAAGGGTAGAAAGGAAAAATAAAATATTCAAGGTAACATTGATCACATTGAATGACCAATAACTCTGAAGTTCAGTTTGGTGGTGAATGGAGAGCACCATTCGCTGCACCGCACAGATTACCTACGAGTACCTGATTGGCTATTCGTCGTTCTGAGGAAAACACTGACCCCTCCAACTGTGGGAAGGCTCAATTGCTCGGTCATCGACAGCGGAGCTGCTTGATACGTCGTTCACCGAAGGGCGTCGTTCCCGTTGGCAACGGGATCACTTTTCTTATCTGTTTTGCTGGTGAGCGCTGTTCCCGCTAGCTGCGGGAAGGTCAGACTATTATCCCTCTGGTGAGCACCGGCTGCGGAATGTACTTGATTGGTCATGCTGAAGAGCATCCCTGCCCGCAGCGGAAATGTTTAAATGATATTTCACTGATGAGCACCTGCAGCGGATCTGCTTGATTGGTCACACTGATACCCCTGCTAGCAGCGGGAATGTCACATTAGTATTTCACTGATAAGCACCTGCAGCAGGATCCGCTTGATTGGTCACACTGAAAAGCAGCCCCGCTAGCARCGGTATTTGATTGATGAGCACCTGCTGCAGGGTCCGCTTGATTGGTCACACAGTTACCCCCACTAGCAGCGGGAATGCCAGATTGGTATTTCATTGATGAGCACCTGGAGCAAATCTGCTTGATTGGTCACACTGATACCCCCACTAGCAGCGGGAATGCCGGATTGGTATTTCATTGATGAGCACCTGGAGCAAATCTGCTTGATTGGTCACACTGATACCCCCGCTAGCAGCGGGAATGTCACATTAGTAATTCACTGATGAGCACCTGCAGCAAATCTGCTTGATTGGTCACACTGATACCCCCGCTAGCAGCGGGAATGTCACATTAGTATTTCACTGATGAGCACATGCAGCAGGATCCGCTTGATTGGTCATGCTGAAATGCACCCCCGCTAGCAGCGGGAATCTCGCACTGGTATTTGATTGATGAGGACCTGTTGCGGGGTCCGCTTGATTGGTCACACTGACAAGTACCCCCGCTAGCAGCGGGAATGCCAGACAGTCTATCTCTCTCTCACTCCCTCTCTTGCTCTCTCACGCACACATCTCTCATAGACACAGTTTCTTCCTCACTCTCTCACTGCACAGTCTCTCTCTCTCACTGTGCAGTATCTCTCTCTCCCTTCCTCTCTCTGTCTCTCTCACTCAGTCCGCTCTCTACTCTCTCAGTCTGCTCTCTCTCTCTTCCACTCAGTCCGCTCTCTCTCTTACTCCCTCAGTCCGCTGTCTCTCTCTTCCACTCAGTCCGCTCTCTCTCTCCTCCACTCAGTCCGCTCTCTCTCTCTCTCTCACTCAGTTCGCTCTCTCTCTCACACTCTGTCCACTCTCTCTCTCACGCAGTCTCTCACTCGCAAGTAACCGCCTGAGCGCCAACGCGTCTCCGCCTCGAGCTCGTCTCCCACTCTGCAACTGCTTGACGCCGGGCACACCTGGCATGCAATCCATCAGTCCTCTCGCCTCATCCCCCGTGCAACAGTCTGCGCATCGATGTTTCCACCCTGAGCCAGGTATCGCGGGTACGCCTTGCACACTGTCCCTCCTTTCTCCTCTGTCCGGCCCTATATTCATTCAGCATCTGCTTGTACAGCCCAGACCATCGGCACCAGGCTCAGCACAGGCTCAATGCGGGTGGTACGTGAGCACCGCCCTCGAGCCAACAAATGGGTGTCGTAGTACCAAGGCCCTTAAGGCCCAGGCACGTCACAGCCGGGCCAGTTCTCAGTTAATCCGCTGGTCAGTTGCGCCTGAATGTCTGTCCCCACTGCAGTAGCCGATTCCGCTGGTTCCGGGGTCGGACTCAAACAATCATTGAGAAATAGGGACCACATACCTGCTGTCACATAGGGGTGAGCAACATGTCGTACTATCCCGAACCTGAATAGCCTGCACCGCACTGGTGCCGAGTCTGACTGAACCTGAAGAGCAGAGTTGGGCTGCTATATCACGCCATCTCATGACCGTGCAGCCAAGATGTTAAAATTCCAACCCTGTCATAAACTGCTGTAGTGGCCGCGGTAACGGCACCGAAGCTGAAACGAGGTATCACGGTAGGAGCGAGTCCGAAATAAACTGAAGTTGAACCCGAAGCAACTGTCGTACCGGTCTCGGCCCTGGAAATGAATTACTACAGTGCCCAGAATATGTCTCGGTAATGGCCTCAATCCTGAAACAAACTGCCGTGGTAGCGCCGAACGTGAAATAAGTACCCGTGATGGCGCCGATTCGGGAATAACTGTTGTCAAGGTCCCGTACTTGAAATAAGCCTCCGTAGTGCTGCCGAGCGTGAAAATCCTATCGTGGGATGTGCCAGACCGACGCCGACCCTGAAATATGGCGGCGCAGCGGTTCTGGACCGCGGCTGGCTCCAACCCTGAAATAAACTGTCGTAGGGGTTCTGGTCCTGAACATAGATCACCGCTGCCCCCCCAGGGTCGCCGTGCCCATACCGAACCAGAAACACCCCGTACTCCGTAGGATGCAGCCACTCCATAACAATGTAGAATCTCTTTGAACCCCCTTACTCGTACCAAGCCACATCCCATACTCTCTACCCAAGGTAGCACCACCCCATGTGGTCCATGCGACTCCCGCTCTTAGAACACCCCAACTGTGGCAACGTTATTATTCAGGCAACAGGGAAAGCGACGCAGGATTCCTCGACCATCAGCAGAAGTGAAAACTGTTAGAATCCGGGGAAAATGATCAATCCAGGGTCTATGCTGACGGCGGGTACTCAAGGCGAAATAAGGCCAATCTCTCAATAGTTGTGGGTTCCCGTCCCTTTCATCGTTTTTTTTTTATATCATTCTTCCTTCTCCTTAATTCTATTGTCGGAATTACCAAATCAACCGTAAATTCCCCAAAATTAAATTCCGAGAAAGTTTAAATAAATGGCCGAATTTCTTTTGTTTCTTTCCTCTTTTTCCATGTTTAATTTTTTTCTATGTTCTTAATTTCTCTGCCGGGAACACAAAATAACAAGGATAATCCCCCTAGAATCAAATGCCGCGAACAATAAAGAAGTTAAGGGATATTAAAATTTTCCTTCCTCCACTTCTGGCCTTGATCCCTTTTCCCCATCTTTAATTGTGGTACTAATATGGGCAAAATTTTGAGGCTTCATTTCGGCCCCGGGCGCGCCTAGTGCGGCCACTCATCTCGTCGTCTTTGAGGGTTGCTCGTAAAGTTCAGCGCGCCCACAATCAGGGGTGCCCTTAGCTCCCCTAATTTTTGCTGTCTGGTCAACCCGGAGCACCGTCAAAACACGGACTTGTCTTTGAGCCTAAGACCCAAAACCCCAGATTTCAGGCGGCGCACTGCTTGTGGCCGCCTGACATCGTGTCGCAATCCACGGGGGATCATCAAGCCCAGCGCCCGTTCAATACACAGGCGTCATAGGAAGTTCACCGGGATCCGAACTTCAGGAGGCTGCGAGAGAGACAGACAGAAAGTTGGGGTCCTAGCAAGGTATCCTAGCACGGTGCCAACATGATTTCCAACAAGAGGGCCCGCCAACCGGGATCTCCAACAGGTTTCAGGAAACGCGAAGCTCGTGCGACCTTGCGACGGGGATCTCTAAGAGTGATTTTGGCATCTCGCTATGACAGTGACCTACTGTTTGGCACCTGTTGATGGTGGAAGGGCGAAAACCGGTTATGGGCAGATCCTTCCGCGGTGACGGGTCTTTCCCGCGGCCCACCCGACGCCAATGACATCAGAGACAAATTAACGGAGAGGCCAGAACGCGAAGTTCGCCGAGATCCGAACTTCGTCGGGGCACGATATGGCAGGAGATGGTGTCAGAGACGGACGTCCAGCATGACTTTCGTCATGTTACCGAATGATGACCAGGGATTTGCACGACAAGCATGAGGTGCAGCGTGTACCAGCAACTGCGGAGTCTCGCACTTCTCTGCAGTCCTACAAATCT